GATTTCACCTGCCCTCATCACCGTCCAAACTTCATCGTATGGTCACGATTGTCCGATAGTGTTTCATTTTTCATTTTTTTTTTTCAAATCGAAATGACTTGAAATTTGGAGCGTATATTCATAAAAAATAATCGAATTTAAAAAAAATATCAAAAAAATATTTTACATGAAAAAATTGACCAAAATACCCGCAAAAAGTTTTGGAGGTATTTTGGTCAATTACTTTTTCATGAATTATTTTTTTTATATTTTTATTAGGTGCATCTCACTAAGATGTGCACACATTCCAAATTTTAAGTCATTTTGATTTGTAGAAAAAAAAAATGAAAAATGATACACTACCAGACAATTGTGACCGTGCGATAAACTTTGGACATTGATGAGGGTAGGCGAAATCAATGTTCATTTCCACATATAGGTGTTGGGAAGACTTTTCCTATATATATATATATATATATATACAATTTTTAGGTATTTTAACAACCTTTTCCTTGGGGAGAATGGGTAACTATGTTTTTCCCGTTGAGAGTATCTTTAATGCTTTGATATCACTAGAGATATTCTCAACTATGAAATATCATATATATGAAACATAAAAAAAAAATTCTAGACCATGCAACTACAACATACAGATTTCTTTCCAAATATTAGTAATACAAAATGGGTGAGGTTTGTATAAAGCACCACACTTATACTGTAGAAGTCGCACCTCTAAATTTTTCCTGGAGATGTAGTTCTGGTGTCGGAAACATTATGATGGCTTGAAAATCCATTTTCATCCCTAGTTATGAAATTCGAAAATCTCAATATGGTGCAGATCGAATAGATCTATAAACACAAGAAAATTTTGAAAATAGGCTGTCCAAGTAATTTGCTACAAAATGCACTACTTTTAAGACTTGAAATTCTTTTTTTCTTTATATCTATACAGCTTGAGGTCAAGATGGTCAAATTGGACGGTTTCCCAAGATCAGAACACTCTCTTCTATAGGATTTTCAAGGTGCACCTTACTTCAATACTATAAGGTTGACCCCTTATATAAACCTTTTCCAGATAAAATATATCTTTATAATACTGCACTATCTTGATTTGTCCAAGCATGAAAGGTTTCATTATGCTTGTTTTACCCTTGATAGTGTTCTTCCTTGGTTAACAGAATCATCAGTAAAAGGAAAAAGAAGAGTTTACCCAAGTCTTCGAAGAACCCGTTTCCGCGCTTTGAGTTCATCCTTGAAAGCTAATGCTGTGGAGGACCGCAATGCTTTTCGAGTCAACTTAATTTTGGCTGTCAGTTCTTGTTTCTCATGTAAAACTGCAAGCTTTTGTCGGAGAAGAGGAGACGTAGTAAGTTCATGCTTCTCTATTAACCCCTCCAGGGTCTCAACTCGCCTAACTGCCTTATCATATGAACTACTGTGAACCTGAAAACATGAAAAGAAGGAATATTTCCTAAAGCAGTACTGAAGAATGGAAGTCAAACCATATTCAAATGGATTGTGTAAAACAATAGTCCATTGGGTCATCATGATCCAAGGAAACAATGGATGACGATGGGGAGTGAGACTACAAGACCCATCACTGCAGTCATGCCTGGTTCTGGTGCGTCCCACTCTCTATGCATAACCATCCATCATTTCATTGGACAGTGGTGAACCCATTGGGTGGTTTTTCTTTTTCATTTTGGAGTTGGATGGATTATAGCATACTTTCCCAAGAGAGAATCCCTTAAAAAAGAAAAACTACATCAATGCACAAGCAAAACAAAACAATTGAAACATGAATAGAGAGAAACTCACATTCATGTCCTCTTTTGGGTCCAAAAGAGGCACTCCATCAGGAAACCTAGCAAGGATTTCTGATATCTTCTTTAGGGTATGTTCCCGTGCTTCCAAAGGCAAAAGATCCTTGGGCATATTTGCTATACATGCACAGCTAAAGCTATCCAGCTGGAAGGTAGAAAATAATATTACAAATCATCAATAAAGCTTAGTAACAACACCAAGTCACCAACGAAATGACAAGAGGGTTAGATTACCTGAGTAATGGGTATAGACACGACAAGAGGTTCCCCTGGCTCTTTTAAAGGAACAATTTTAACAGTTTTCTTGCCAGATCCTTCCTTGTTGGCAACACACCTTGTAAGAACGTCAATTGTATATTGATCATCCTCAGGTTTTAAATTCGTATGACCTGAAAAAAGGAGAAACACATTTTCTTAATCATTAAAAAAGAGATGAGCTCCTGCAACTTAAAACTAAATAAAGAAGTTATCTAAATCTCTCAGCACCTATATAAACCCACAAAACGTTTCCCTTAAATTTTTTTTTTTTATGTTGTTCACTGTTGTATTAATAAAAAAGGTATTACAGTAGTCCGTCGAGATAGCCCACAGGTTGGGCTTCTCGGCAAAAAATGGGCTTACCCAAAAGGGCCCTGTACAAACTTTTCCCTTAATTCATCATGAGACTGAGGAGCTAATGCCCTCGTTTGAACTTGTTGGCACATGTGTGCATCCCAAGGAATGGGACAGATTGACGTATTTGGAGATCTAATCATATGGTGTTTGAACTTGTTGGCACATGTGTGCATCCCAAGGAATGGGACAGATTGACGTATTTGGAGATCTAATCATATGGTGTTGAGCACAGTTTAAATCATTCTTTAGAATACTCTTCAATGTAGATGAGGCTTCCTCTCAAGTATGTATATGTGGAATAGCCCCACACCCTCCTGAGTATGTTGCTTTGGCTGGCTGGTTGTACTTGACATGGTATTGACAGGGGACCGTTCAGCCCTTGGAGGAATCCAATTCCCAAAGACCCAAACATGTGTATTGTGTGCTGGGAGGGCTGAGGAGAATGTTAACCATTTGTTCATCCACTGTTCTGTTTTTTGTACAGTCTGTACATAGTACCATTTGTTCATCCACTGCTCTTCATGTGTAATATACGGAACTCATATTGAGACTCTTTAAAATGAATTTGTTCTTCCTTGATCATAGGAGGATGTGTTGTCAATGTGATTTTCTAGCCCTTCCTTACAAAAGGTCCTATGGATGCTTCGCATTACAACTATTTTTTTGAATCTGTTAACTTTGCATTAAAGTAAAAGAGGTATTGGCATTACAACTATACTATGGATCACTTGGCTTGAACAAAATAAGAGACCTGATAGAAAACATTCAAATTCCAAAAGAGTTGCTCATAGATTCAGATTAATGGTTATTGGTTGGCGCTTGCCAGGATAGACTTCAGGGCAGAAAATCTAGTTAGAGAGTGGAAGGTCATTGTTGACAGCTGAGTGACTCACAGTGACTTACACATAAGTTGGACTGGCCCACCAGGTGGATCCCAAAGCTAAACTTCAGTGGCAGTTCATTTGGGAACTTGGGACCTTCTACTGCTGGGGGAGCTTTCAAAGACAATTTGGTGTACTCACACTGTCTATACCTGTTCTTTGGATATTGCTGATCCTAAATGGGGGGAGGTAAATGGCCTTCTCACAGTTCGTAAGATCTTGAAAACCTTTTCAATGCCATTAATTGTAGAGGGAGATTCTATGAATGTGACCTGATGAGCCAGCAAGCCCTGTCCCATGAAGACTTGCTAACAAGGAGATCCATGATACGTGTGAGGGAAAAATGGCTACCTTTCATCAAGTGCCAAGGGTGGCAAGTGACTTAGCAATTCACTTGCTTCTCCTACTGTGCAAGTCTCGGTTTGTACGCTCATCTGAGCAACTTAATCTAAATGGTTCCTATTTAAAGATATTATCATTCATGAAATCAATATGGATGTACTTGGACCCTTGCCATAACACATTTGTTTGCTAAATGCAACAAGCCAAGCGCCATATAATTCTTCACTTGCATAATGCCCTTTTCCCTCTTAAATTCCCATAGAAGTGGAATCCTATACAATCATTGTTCCAGTTTCCACTTATTTTCAAAGAATTCATACTTACTAATATATGGATAAATTGGTTCTCTTTTTATTACCACCTCTCTAGAACTTAATTCAAATTTTTTGTCACCAATGCATAGAATTTCTATGTAATCTTCACGGATAGTAATGCTTATAGAATGAAAAAGATGAAAACAATATATGAAAAAACACATACAAGGCATAAAATCCCATAAAGTAAGGGACATCCACTTTTATGTGCTTTTCTTCTTATCCTTATTCATTTATATTTTACAGATAAAGATCTTAATTCTTTAACTTCATTTCAACATTGTCGCATGCATATCCATATGACTACACTAAGTAAAACTGGATTCATACTCTTCTAGAATTAATGCTAAAAATATTTTTCACCAAAATAGAAAGACGAATAGGTCATTCCTACATTTTCATGCAACTCATATGACATTATCCACTGGTGCAAATAATTCGCCAGAACCATCTCAAAATTTCCAAAGAGAAAATAACCCGCACCCCCCTCCCCATAATTTTCGTCCCAGCTAAGCCCTCAGGTCCACCAAAGACCCGTGGACCTTAGTAACCCGGATAATGACCCCCCATACCTTTTTCTCCCTCTTAATTACACGCCTTTTTCTAAGACAAAATATCACAATCGTCCCCCCCTCTCACTTCCTTCACCCAAAGCTCTTGTGAACATGAGGGCCTAACTGGGATGAAGATTTTGGGAGGGGAGTTGCGAGTCATTTTCCCAATTCTAAACCACTAGTATCAGTTCAATGTGATAAATTTAGAAGGATGCACTAGATAAGAGCTTCATATTGACAAGGTTGTCTCCTATCCATCAATACAAAGCTATCAAGGAGGTAAATATATCAAGAATATTCTTACCATCTGCCGAATGTATCACCCTCTCAAAATTTACAATCACACCCCATGTAACTTGGTCCTCAACAGAAAAATATGAGACTCTTGTATCACTCCTTGCGCATTGGATACGCACAAGCCTTCCAGGCTGCATGAAGGGCAGAGAATACTTGGGAGAAAGGGTAATATCCCTAATGTCTTTCTTTAAACTCTTGTACTGCTGGATAAGGGAATAATAGCCCTTCAACTTCTCTTCCTCCTCAATCACAATTGAGTCTCTCTCCTCTTCAAGAACCTTCACTTGTTTCTGCAAAAGAACAGGGCAACCCCCAGATGTCAAACTTTCACTGTTCAAAGCTCCTGCTGACAATCAGTGCTAACATATCCGTTTTCCATAATAACAAGTCAGTGAATAGAAATATACATCACATTGCAGCAAGTAAGTACATAAAATGGAGAGATATACACTGAGGAAAAGAAGACAGAAGAGACGAATGGGGTGAACAAAAGAAAGCAGCGAAAACAAAGGAGACTAGAGAAGAAAAAGAAAAATATGGTGAGGGGATGGAAGACAAGTGGTAACTTACCTCAAGATCAGGAAGAGCACGGTCAGACTGGAACTGATAGAAAGAGTTCCTCAGCAAATTTTCAGGATTACCATCTTCACAACGCATTTGATTCAACAGCATATTGTAACTTAGATGGAAGGCGCTGAATACAAAGACAGGTATTTTTTGTTTTTAATGCAAGGATATTAGTAATGCAACAGTTAGCTACAATAACCTAGGAGTAACAATATAAATATATAAGACCATGTGTTTCTAGGACAAATTGCAATTTGGGCCTATGTGAAAAATTTTCATCTGAAAATTGACCTTAGGGGGTCTTTATTGTCACATTTGAATTGATTCCCAATTCTCCAAAATTCACATACCACTCCAAGGTTTTTTCTTCTTTTTTTTTTCTCTTTTTTGGAGAATGTTCACTTAGGCAAACCACTCCAAGTTGTTCAGCAAATAGTTCTACCTGGCACTCAACTCTCTCCCTCTCTCTCTCTCCACCACAACCCATCAAGCCAATCACCACCACTACCATCACTAATGCCACCCTGGCCCCGTGGCACCACCACTACAACACCCTCCACCACCGCCACTGCCACAAGCCCACAACCACCACTCTACCTCCACCACCACCGCCACCGCCTCCTACACACACAAAAAAAAAAACACACATGCACATGCCTGAGAAGTTTTGAAATTACATATCCTAAAAAAATAAATAGATGCAAAATGTAAATAACTAAAAACTCTCTTATAAATTAGTAAATATAAGATGAATATTGAGTGATTTGGGTCAAGTGGAAGGCTTTAAAAATGCAAGGAGAAGGCCCAAAAGGATATGGATGGAAGTAGTGAGAAGAGATATAATGACTTGTGGTCTGCCATTCTGCTCAATATTTATCGTCATCATTATCACTCAAAAGTTGGGTAACACTCAGATGATGATGATGAACATTGACCTCTAAATCACTCAAAATGTTCTCTCTTAAGAGTAGGTTCAAAAAGGATTTGTTGGGGCTTTAAGTACCCTCCCATCATTTTCCACCTTAGGAGGAAAAAGACTACTTTTCCCACAGCCCGAGGACAATTCCCGCCCTTGGGCCATGGTAACCAAGATGGGAGCCTTGCACCAGCCTAGAAGCCTAGGCACCTGCCTCTAATGCTATGCACCCAACTACGTCCAAGCTGCCTAGGAGGGCCACCTCGGCCTAGGCAAGTCATTTAGGGACCCGCCTCACCTTGAAGTACCATCTTGGCGGCAAGGAAGGCTGCCGTTTTCTACACCAACCACCACCACCTTGACAACACCACTATCACCACCATCAGACCATACTACTACCACCACCACCACCACCACCACCACCATCGCACAATACAATAACAAAAATCAAAGTTCAAATTGGAATAATCCAACACCCCAAGAGAGCAAATTACAGTTGGCAAAATTTCCATTTGATTTATTAGAAATTGTATAGGAAAAAAACACCATTTGAGAAAATACTGAAATCAAACAGTGCCTTAATGGTGAATCACCATAGTATCAAATTTCAAAAGTGAAAGCAATTAAATGGGAGTTAACATGCAACACAAGACCCAGGACTAACAAAGTGTCGAGAATTCCAAAACTTGGTACATGCTGAATATTCTCATGAAACCCCAAAGATAAAAAGCATATGTAGCTACATTTGTAAAACACCATCTGAAATTCTAACCCCATAGGTTCCATAAGAAGCATAAGAAATCATAATTTTTTTTGTTTAAGTATCACTCTCAAAAAATCAGGAATTAGAAGCTTAGCTGCTCATCAAGAAAGAAAAGAATCACCAACCTAACCACTCAAGCACCAGTTCCAATGCCCATATTCCATTCATGCCAATTAAATAAAATTACAAAGGAAACAAATTCAATATTTCAATACCTGTTCAAGCAATCAGCACTTCCTTTTACCATCGTCTTAGCTGTAGATGGTTCCAATTTCTCATCCACCATGAGAATACAAATACCACGTTCATCAAGACCACGACGACCAGCACGCCCACTCATCTGTATATATTCTCCACTAGAAAGCCATCTAAACTTGTCCCCATCAAATTTGCGCACATTAGTGAAAACAACGGTCTTCGCAGGCATGTTCAAACCTATACTGAAGGTTTCTGTGGCAAACAAGCACTATAAGAAAAAGTTTCAATTCTCAGAACCCAGATAGTCAAATGCCGATTCATAAAGTAAAATTTCTGCAAAAAAAAAAGGCAAAATCCATATTTAATGAAGTACAAAAACAATAGTAGGTCATGCATGCCCAATGATACAAGTCAAACAATATAAAGCGTAAACATCAAACCCACAGTTTAAGGCCTATAAATACTTCAAGAAGTCCTAAAATTGCACAGACACGTGTATGAGAAATGCAGGTTTTTCCAAAGTCAAGAAAATTGTATCCAAGAAAGACAACTTTGATGATGCTTAGAAATGCACATTGCAAATAGAGTCAACTCCGTTTGACCAGCATGAATCAAGTGTACATTGAACTGAATAATGTCTGAATCAGAATTTCCAAAAGATCATTCAATCAATCACCACTATTGTTCAGAAATTTCCCAGCCTGGCCTCGTAGGTGACCACAGGCCCTAGGTGCGTTGGTGAGTGGGCTCCAGGTGCATATCTAGGTGGCCAAGGCAGATGCCTAGCGCCTTAGCCATTTCGGGCGCCTTCTCCCGTCATGGAATTTTGAAGAAGATTTCTAGTCGAGTTTTACCAGTTATGCAAAACTAAATTACTATTGTTAAAGTTGCCAAATTTATATGAGATTTCTCAGCTGGTTCAATGAGAAAAAACAAAAACATCTGAGTGAATTCCCAATATTTCATCCAAGGATTCTACATGCGTATCTTTTCAAAATTAGTTTAGAAATCAAGAATTTTGGCGGTAGAAATACTTTCTTTATTTTCAGAAATAGAATATTATACCCCTATTCTTGAGGGTAAGGGTGTACGAGAATTGCTTGTTTGAGGGAATGCTTGTTTGAGGGGATAAGAGTAGTTTTTAAAACAGTAACGAATCAAAGCCTGGCAGGGGTAGCAGGCATCCTTTTCTTATTCATTTAATCTCCCCAGTCGATGCTATAGAGAAAGACAAGGAAATAACAATTTAGAGAGAAATATACATAGCAAGTAATAAAGAGCATGGCAACACAGAGCGAAGAGAGAGAAAACTGTGAGAAAGACATAAAGACCAAAAGGCGAGGAGCGAGAGGGAGTTTAGAGAAAAAGAGAGGGACAGAGAGAGAAAACCATGTTGAGAGAGAAGTGGAGAGAAGCCAACTGAGTAAAGGGAGGTATAGATAGAAGGGCAAAGAAAAGAATGCAAGGGAGAAGAATATATACATTCGAGTGCTATCTTAGCTTTTCCATGTTGCCAGGGAATCTCCCCTCTCTTCCATTGCTTGACCACATAAACTAAATGCATTTAATAATTATTTTCATTTTTTGCCTGCCTCCCTCCACCCCCCAACAAACAAACAAACAAAAAAACAACAAAAAAAATCTCCCTTTCTCTATCCAATCCTTTCTCTAACTCACCTGTGGCAATTGCAGGTCTTTGGTTTTTGGCTTTATGCAGCCTAAAATGCCCTGGGGACACGGATTGACTTTTTTTCGCATTTTTCATTTTGTATGCACGAATTATTGACTCACATTTTATAGGGATATGGACTGCCTTTTATTTAATGTTGTTGGATGTAATACATTATCTCAACTTAGCAGCAAAAGAAATGCCTAGGAGGCGCCAGCCCAGGGGGCGAGGCGCTGCCAAGCAGCATCTGCATTTTTCAACATTGACGACTGATCACCCCACCCCCAACATGTGGTAACCAGAATACAAGTAATGAACAACAAAAACTAAGTTCTAATACTAATCACATACAATCAACTCCAAGTAGCAATGAGACTAACCATGCAACCTTTGATGCAAGATCCAACACGAACAAGGCAACGCATCCTTAAATGATAAGAACCAACCACTTTAATTCTATTTAATATTGCTTTATGGTTTCAACACCATTTTCTTTTCCATGCGTTTCTCTGTGCATGTGCATGTAAAGTGTGATCAATTAACATGATAAATTAATGAGAAAATCAAACTTCAAAGGTATCTTGTGCATGGAGTAAGATAAATGGTAACAGTGAAAACAGTAGCACAATTAAAACAGTGAAAACAGTAGCACAATTAAGACGTACTACATACAATTGTAGTCCCCAAAGCAGTAGTACAATTAAATCTACACATGAAAACAGCATAAAGCTGGCTAAATCATTTGAAACATGCAATAGTATTGCCTACCTTGATAAGGCCTTCTTGAAAGAGTATCTCAATCACCTCTTTTAAAATTGGTAGCAACCCAGAATGGTGAACACCTATACCACGTTTAAGCAGGGGTAGTATGTTCGATACCTGGTGATTAGCAAGGGTAAAAATCAAAACTGTAAGTCAAGCTGATTGTTTTCCTGTACTAATGCCAAAATTGAGTGGCAAAAGAAGTGAAAACAAAAGTGACTTCATCCAAACTCCTATACCAACGAACAAGTAAAATTTAAATGCAGTTAATCAACATAGCTCATATAAAGAGAGTTAATGTCCCATTTCCTAGATCAGTTTGCTGGCCAAAATCAACTTTATGGTCTGAAAAAAGAAATGAAGTTTCCAAGACTCAAAATCAAGGAAATTCTCTACTAATTGTATATTGCCAAAAACTCAGATAAAAGTGAAAGAAGACTCCATCAAATCAAAATATCAGAAAACAGTCAACCAAAAACAAACCATTCTGGTCAAAATTTACTTAGCAGGCCAACTTTCCAGATCCAAAACGATGCAATATTTACCTTGCTAGGTGGGATCAAGGTTCCCAATTTGCATTGACCAAATTGGATAGTCTAACGCAATTCTGGGAACTGTACGTAGAACTGACTTCCCAAATATAAGAAATCCTTAACAAGCATAAATATAGGGCATTTTTGCCCAATCCATTTTTGTAATTTTCTTTTTGTCTAGTACAGAAAATCACTAGCAAAGATGTTTTACTCTTTCTCTTTCACAGGATAGCTGCCAGAGGTCTATGAACTACAGCAGGGCCTTTCCCAATTGGTGGACAGTACTATAATTGGGGCTATCGAGATCTCTCATTTCTTGTTGTTAGTAGTAATTTAGTAACGCGGATTTCTTTCCTACTTGACTCTATTCATTTTTCATGGCATCCACTTATACGCTTCGCAATATTCCATTCTTTTCTATAATTCCCATTAGGACAACTGGCTTTCTTATTGGACACTAAGGAATTTCAAAATTATAAACCTTCTTATTAATAAGTTAAAAAAATTGTAAAATTATTACCTAAAAGAGTTATCAAAATAAAATAAAAAAGTTGCACAAGAAATAGATTGAACCTTACCATTAAGAAGTCAAATGAAGTGCACTAGATTGAATGTTGAGATGCTTCTTAAAGGGGAAAAAAAAAACCATATTTCTCATACATAAAAATTACAACTTCATTTGAACAAACAAGCAGATTTAATGCAAAAATACAAGAAAAAAATGTTCAATCCAGATAAATTATATCAACCTTTTACAGCCATTATTAAGGACATAACAAAACTGTTTCATATTCTGCCATTAATTTGGAAAAAATAAATTTATTGTTTTGATAAGCAAAAATAGAAATAGAAATACACACATACACACACAGACACATATTTGCATGTGTGTGTGTGTGTGTATAAAAGAAGAAATATATATCGAGAAACAAAAGCAAATAAAAAGAAGAAATATATATCGAGAAACAAAAGCAAATAAAAAGAAGAAATATATATCAAGAAACAAAAGCAAATAAAAAGAAGAAACATATATCAAGAAACAAAAGCAAATTAACTAT